GTTGTTTACGGTAAAAAAAATACTGGTTCCCAATTAGAAGACACATGCTCTCACAAATGTAAATATTTGTAAACGAAATTATCACTCACTACTATTAAAATTAATTAGTTGAAAACAATAGCTGATTTTACTTTCAAAAAAGTAAATTTCGATCAGACAAAAAAATCAAGAACTTTAGACCTTAACACATTTGAACAAAAATCAATGCAAAGTACAATGAATGCACACTATTGCGCTTTCTAGAAAAATGATTGAACCCGGAATCGAAATCAATATTAGCTTTTTATAACAATACTGATGAAAACGTTCAAAAACAAATAAAAAATCCAGACGACCATTCAATTTTGTTTTATTGCACCTGAATGATGCAGATAGAAAGGAGTACAAAAAGCGTATTAGAAAAAATAGCTTAATCACAGAGGTGAAAAAGTTGAAAAATCTACACCTAAAAAACTGCTACATAATTGTAAAGAAAGAATTTCATAAACAGTCTAAAAATAATTGAAAGTCAATTACCAAGCGTCAACAAATTTTTGGTAGCAACCTGTTTGATCCGAAAATAAAACTGTTGTCATAAAAGTTTTCATTAAGTTTTCAAAAATTTTACGACCAATCCAATTTGAAACACATAATCGCATGCGAATATATTTGTCCTCAAAATTATGCAATAAAAGTTGACTGAGCCGATTCAACATAAACTTAAAATGTTTCAATAATTAAAAAAGAAACAAAAAATGTAAAAAAAGAACCCAATATCAAACTTGGTAAATTTACAAGTTATTGAACTTTCAACAGAAGTAAAAAAAAAGTTTAAATAGGAAAAAAACACATGCTCTACAAAGTAAGCCACTTAAAACCCTATCAGGTTAAAAACGCGTTTCAAAAAAAGCTGAAAATGAACCGACCAAAACTAGGACGAAAACAGCAAACCCGGAAACAAAATGAGAGACTTTTTGAAAAATAATTACAACCTGAAACGGAATTTACCTAATTACTACTTATACTTTAGTAGTTTTATTCGAAATGTGTCAAGAAATTGAGTATGCCAGAAGATGAAGGAGTCCAGGAGATATGAAATGAGTCCAGTGAACAAAGTTGTTTACAGGAAAAAAATCTAGCACCCGATTGCAATATCCTTGATTATCCCAAGGGCAAACAACTAAATTTCGCATTTCAAAATTATGAAGTCACGATTTTTAACAAAAAGTTACAGTAAAATTTATTCTGATTTTATATCACATAAAGCCTGCCAATATACATGGTTTGAAAGAGTTATCATTGTCAACAACATGCTATAGTCATGAAATCAGTATCAAAATTAAATTCCGTCGGTGGAAAAAATCTACCACAAAATTGCATATACACAATACCTGCATCACAAAATATATGACAAGCACAGCATTCTGCTCGAGAAGTATGAACAAATTTTCGAAAAAATTTAGCAATGTGAGAAGAACATAAAAGACAAACAACTCAAAAACATTATTTGAGTCGTTCTTCAATGAGGGTCTGTGAGGTTAATTTAGTATTTCAAAACTTATTGTTACAAGTAAATCACTCTCAAAAATAGTCACCGGAAACTGAAAGAAACCACGAAGCATTGAGAGTAAATAAGTCTACACCCAATAACCTGAAAAAAAAGCTAAATCCACGAGCTTAATAACTTGCATGTACCTACCGCCTAGGATCCCGGCCGCTATCGAGCTGGTACATGAAAAATGGTACACGCAGGTGTCACAGTATTATATTTACCGATTCTAATTTTCACAATTCAGTCCACAAACTCATGAAAAAAACTATTACCCGGTAGCAAATCTTTGCTTATCGCACGGGCACTGCCGAACCAACTCATACTTCACACCAACTCATTTTAAAAGAAAATAAAAACGAAAAAAGATGTGCCATTAGATCAGGCAGTCAATAGATCAAAAAAAAACATTGAAAAATGCCTGCATTGCATACATTTGCCACAGCGCAAAAATCAGTCAATCTTGACTTGTACCATAGTCAACAAAGTGTTAGAAAAATGTGATTGAGCTTATAAAGAACGAATTTTTGAACATTTTCACAAGAAGGAAACTAGTTTCACACAGGGGCGAAGTTGCACAAGCAAAAAAATGGCCGATAACACTACTCGGAAAAACTGAATGAGTAAAACTTAAAGTCTACAAAACTTATTAAGTGACGCACGCCAATTATGAGGCATTAGCAGTACCAGTCCATTTGAAAAAAAAATTACCAATTAACATGCCTCAATTTATAGAGCGGACGCATTTTAACTAGTATGCGTAAAAATTCATTAAAACATCCGACCTTGAAGCTAAAGTGCTATTTGTAATATAATAGTCTTGTGTTAATATCCTTAGCATTGGCTGAATTAATAGCTGGTTATTGATCAAAATGAACACTTTCAAAATGAACACGTTTTGCCGCAACAATATTAGCGACTTGGGTTGGAAAAAAAAAGATAGTTCATACTATAACACAAGCTTTGCTGGTCTAAAAAAGCTTTTATGATTGACACTTTTTTAGTCAACCAGCCAGGAGGCCTTGCTAATTTCAGCGCATGGGCGATAGATATGGACACGCAATTATATGCTTGCTGGGCAAAATTACAATCAATGTACCTTAATACATTTTAGGAAAATCACCCAATTGATATCACTGCGCTATTTTCCACTCCGGGAGCAAAAGAGCTACAAAATGGGTTACAATTTTTTTCCGCTAAAAACATTATTCGTCGCAATTTAAAAACTTGAAGCTTTTATCTCCCGTGACTGTTCAATTAAAACTCCTTGCAGCGGCCGATAATCAATAGACCAGGATATCCGCAAATTGTCATATCTTGAAGCCGAAATTACAGCGTTACGTAACAATTGCATAAAAGCAGTGGCCAACAGTTGTCATGTTGCATAACAATAATGATTTTCGGCTCATTTGAATGGTAAACTTTTTTTCGGCTTGTTTGACAACCATTGGTTAGAGCACAAGCAATTTCCACGATAATTCCTTTTTGAAAACGAACAGGTCCTATTAAGATTCAAACCTAAGACTTTAGCGGTCCCATACGTAGTCATAACTCTAGGACAAGTATGCCGGAGAAGCTAAGAAACTTAAATTTATTATAAGCCAAGGTGATTTTGTTAGGCAAGTTGTTAACCTGAAAATATTACCCGATTTTATACTGCTTGCTAATCACAACCGCAACAGAGAGGGAAACTGTAACTTTGCAAGCACAAGCGAGAAAGTGGCAAAAGGGAGCTCATTAAGCACAACAATCAACGTGTACACAGAGGCGAAGCGGAGCTTCGCAACACTTGCGATACAACGAAAACAGTGCGTTGCAAAGCAATGAATAAAAAGAGACAAAAGTCGGATTTTTGTTGAAAAATAAGTCAAAAAAATAATTTTACTGACGATTACTTGGCCACAACGACGGCATAAAAATGCCTGCTGGCCACCAAGGCCAAAAAAAACTACTGTCATAATAAAACTTAGAGCTGTAAAGTATTTACAGAATATGTTGTTTTGATGGGAGATGTAATGTTTAGGTAGGGGAGAGCCTACTTTCCGTTCTTTTAATTGAACTCAATATCAGATTGCCAGGGTAGATTTCAAGAAGTACAAAAATTTGCAAAAAAAAAACTAAACAAAATTCGGAAAATGGACTTTTCCTAAATCATACTTGATTTTCTTCAGAAAAATATGGTCTATCCGATTATGCAAGGATTATATCTACAAAAAAGTTCTTTCAATTGAATCATTAACCTCAGAATTGGCGTCGCACTTTCTGAGACAAAAATAAGTTTCCTATCTCAAAAACTGACTTTTCCAAGTCATTACAGTTTTTCAACCAAAAAAGAGTGGCTCCTTCTGCAGGGAAAATTCTTAGACTGGTGGTTTCGATAAACCTAGTATCGCGAAGCCACTTATACAGGGAGGATTTCCATAACCAGTTTCATCGATTGAAATCTGAACATAAGATTTGGCAGGGTAGTTTTCAAGAAAAGTAAAAATTGCAAAACAGAGGCGAAGCGGAGCTTCGCATAAGTTGCTATACAAAAAAATGTATAACTGATTACAAACAAAAAAGAGGAACCAATAGAAACAAAAAAACAACACAAATCGTTTTTTCGTCAAAAAAGTTATAAAAATTGCAAAAAACAGATAAAAATCCTGAAACATTACCTCCAACATTAGAAATTTTACAAAACGCTAAAAAGAAACCAAACCTTTTTGTGTCACCTAAGCCGACAAAAATTAGCAGAAACGAAAGTCTAGAATATTCGAAAAATTTCAGTTTCGCCAAAACAAACAAGTCTGACTGAAATATACTAAATGTTCACCCAAAAAAATTATATTCCGATTTGCTAATGTTTGTTAATTGCAAGCGTAAAAATTGCAGAAAAAGGTGTAAAACTCAGAAATTGACAAAATTTTAAAGAAAAAATAGATGCCCTTTAAGCTTTATGACTTTCTAGAACGATATATGACCAGCACTTTTTCAACAATAACCCAACCAGAGAAAAATAAATTAATAGGTAAAGTTTTTATTCAGCTGGAAATCTTAAAAAGAAATTCCACTTTCGAAACTTGAAATCGTTCACGTTTTTTTCTTGCAATTTGCGCGTTTGTATTTGGAGAGTGCTTTTTCCCTCATTTTAAGCAGATGAATTTCAATTGAACCCAAAAAGTGCATATCCACCTCAGTGCATTCATAAATGCATCAATACGTATGAATGCACATCTGTAGTTATTTTTATGCACATTTTAAGACTTTTTCCTGGAAAAAAAAACAAAAAAAATAGCAAGACCTATATAAGAGTCTTCACTAATTTCATTACTTAAAAAACTGCGTGTGGTTGAGGGGGGGGGGGTAGCAGAGAGAGCCGTTTCAATTTACGATTGCGTTACTCATTCTTAACATTCAAAGCCCGGCCATCCAAAAACGAATTCTCAGCTGGCCTATGCCTCCTGGTTTTCCTTTGATCTTAAATATTTATTCGATATAAATAAATTTAGACCGATCTGATAACCATATTTACAATATTTTTCAGTGCAAATGAGACAAAAATTCAGTATCAGTCAGTGCTTTTCATCAGTTTTCAAACAATCGATAATCGTAAATGCAAGAGGCATCAATTTTTCATCACCCAGATCTAAGCATGTTTTTTCAAGATACATTAAAATTTTCATAAGTCTTTATTTTTAGTAGCTAGCAAGAAAGATTATTATTCAAACATAAGATATTTTGCATAACTCGCCCCCCAATCATCAAAAACTTTGTTCAAAAATACCAATGCCTCTCGCTTGCCTCAAACCCATTTTTAAAAGCATGTGTAAGTTAAGTTAGTGTTCACTAGTATGCATAATAATACATCACAACTTCGCGACTCGATTGAAAAGCGCAGATCCACGTGCTGTGTCGTGAGTGCGTACCAGATCACTAAGACAATGCCACCAGTTTTTGTAAACTGACGTGAGGGGGAATCCTCCGGCACGCAATGATGATCCATTGACAGCCATTATGGTACTAGTTAGGGCGAAGGGGTATGTGAAATGGGACGTCAGCGTAGGCACGATTAGCCTTCCATAAGGCTGCAAGGCTTTGACTTGGTGGTTGTCTTCTACAAATACATACTTGCACATATAGTAATAGACTATCTTCCCCAGCCAGAGACTGAGAATTTCTGATATCACCCTTGGAATTAGTCCAGCGAAAAACCCAGATACGCCCTCTTCTCTCCATATGACCCTGACTGAAGTGATGAAAGGAATTCCATATATCTTCTCGCGCCCAATGAACTGGGCCATTGCCCTGACCGAAATAGTATAAAATGGCTGTGAAACTACAATGGCCAGCATTTTAGCGCACGACTCGATAGCACACTCCTCTAGTAGATCGGGCACTGAGTCTTCTTTCTTCTGTTTCGGAGAATTATCTTCCGGCTCACCGGCGTTCCTGTAAACGCAAATCAATTCAATAAAACTTGACAGTTTTTCCTAAATACCGGATACTCATAGAAGCCAAACTACGCTTCGCATACATACGTTCAAAATCAGCAAAATCCGAAAAACTTCAGGCCAACAGCAAGTCCTGTATAGCTTATAAAAGAAAAATTAAAGTACCCGTTAGCAATAACATTGCCAATATAATATGGAATTTGACATTCAAAGCAAACTACTTTATGGATCGTAAAACATTTAACTAAAAGATAGTTAAAAATAACAAAAATAAGGTTAGCCGGTTTGTGTGCAAGTAGCACAGACAGTTACGACCTCAGAATAAAATACTCACTCTTTTTTCTTTTAGTCGGGTAAGATTTAATAAACTTATTAAATAGAAGCTGTAATGTTGTTCGTGATTTCACAACTGTTGTTGAGATGCAAAGCGGAACTTGGGTCGTGTGATATCAGGGCCGCATTAGAATTATAGTGCCAAGTTGAGAATTTGGTTACGGAAGCTCCAGGAAAGACGGAATCGCACAATTCAGAAGACTTTATCTACTTGTCGACACAAGTGGGAGCGCAATTTTTTGGAACAGATCGAGGAGTCTGATGTTCCTGGACATCTGGTTGCATATCCAATTTTAGACATTAGGGTGAAATGTTTCAAATTTTGTGTGAAAGGCCTCCAAAGGAAGGATCTTAAAGCCAAGATTTTATTGTATGTCTGGAATATCGAAAACTAGCTTTCGTATTTTCAAGAAAGCGCCGACGAATTACCTATTTCTAGCAGATTCACAGGCGAGATTTTTGAGAGCTGGTAACCTCAATATCTTATCGGTTCCAGATGCCAGCATTATGCACACAGTCGATTTTAACCCCCCCCCCCCCCCCCCTGAAGCTCGTTTTGAAGTGATCATTCTGTTCATTGGAGGAAACGACCTCTTCGACGGTTTTAAACCCTCTTCAAAAACTCCAAGCAAGTCACTCAAGCACTGATCGCCCTAGCCAATTTTGCCTGCGATAGCACCGGTAGCAGTGTTTTTGTCCTGGGCATTCCTGAACGAGAGGATAATCGAGCTAGAGCGATTGTGAAAAAAGACACAGTCGAAGCAAGAGCCGAAAGAATCTCTCCCGCCCAGGAGGCGAAAAATGAGTTGGAGTATCGAGGTATGAGCAGCTTTAAAGAAGGAAAACTAGAAAAATTGAAAACGAGATGAAGGAGCTCAAAGAAACTATATCCGAAATTAAAAACATGCTATTAAAAACCATTCAACATGCAGAAACAAGATCAGATCAAAAAAAGCAAAGACAAAGCCACCAGCTAAAACCAGCACATCTAACAATGAACCACTAGGAGTAAAGATAAGAAGTGAAAGAATGCAAGTACAAGGATGCCAGAAAATGCCAAGAAAACGATTTGAATGAAGTTCAGAAAAACTTTGGACACATGGATGTTGAATGCAAACAAATTCAACGATCTAATCAGACTAGGCCAATGAGGAAATGATTAAAACTGAATAATACTTCTCAAACTACCAAACGTGAGGCAAAAACGGCTGATATTATCGTCAGCTAGGAAACTGATAAACTACGGAACAACCGTGTTTATAAGTAAAGAACTGACAAATGAAGAAGCAGCTATAGAAAACGCCTCGTTAAAGAAACGACGGGAACTCATAGAACAAGACCGAATGAATAAAAAAGGCTTGCGCGGTACAGACTGCAGTTCGTACATACAAAAATTGAAGCAGATTGGTTTAAAAAAAAACAGTCTGCTACTACACATTGAATTATTTAAGAAGAGTTCTTTTCTCAAATGCCATACAAACTATCTATGACATCTATGACATGTCAAACATCTATGACATGTCAAACATCTATGACATCATTTGCCTGACAGACACATTCTTAACAGAGAAGGTTGCCACATGTACAATCTTTCTCGAAATACACCGAAGTGATCGAAAATACGTCAATGGCAAAATAAAAGATGGAGGCGTAATGAATGCACAAAGCAAAGAAATACCACACTGCTGTATCTCTTCAAACCTTGACGACTGCTTGATCATAAATCTTCTGATTAAGAGTCCAATACTAGCAGCATGTATTTACTTCGCTCTAAAGGGCAGTGAATATCGTTGTTCAACCAATACCTTAACATTTTTTTGTCTTTCATTAAAGAAAAGCTAATTGAACTGAATGTAAGAAAGGTGCTCATAGTTGGAGACATAAATTTTGCTGATATTGACTGATCGCCTTTAATATCCTTTGATGAGGACAATCAGGCTTTTCTGGATGGGTGAGCAGAACTACATTTTGAACAACAACAAAGGGAAAAGACATATCACAACCAGACGTAATACTATGAAATCAACCCGAAATATTAACATCCGTGAAAGTGGACAAACGACTGAAGTATGTATACACCACCGATCACCCGTCCTACCACGCGAAACTAAATCTCAACTAGAAACCCGAATTCTCCGAAAAATAGTAACAAACAACGATATCAACTTCAGCGCATTCTCATTTTCGAAAGCAAACTGGGAGGCCATAAACCAATGTATCACTGAAAACCCGTTTAAACCGTACTGTTATAGCCATGTCGATTTAGGAGTTTTGGCTTTGCAGGTTCATGCTTGAAACTTAGAAAATTACATGTGTAATAGAAAACAAGCCGTTCGCATCGTACGAGCAATCTCTGATCCTTCGCCCGTATACAGTGGTGTACCTCAGGGGTCGATTCTCGGACCTTTGATGTTCATCCTCTAAAAAAACTACCTGCCAGAGTGCTCAACTTCGGTAAATTTTGGCTACGCTGCTGATTAAAAAACATTATCGAATAACTCTGTAGCAAAAAATACAGACGCAAAAAGAATATGGAATTGATGCATCAAAAACTCTATGGAATTAAAAATTTCAAAAACTTAAACATTTGGCATCAAAGGTAGAACAATTGTGGAAGTCAATACTACAATTATCAAGGAAGGAAACGAAACGGAAGACCTCGGATCTATAGTCACTAATCATATGAATTGGGCAGAAAATGGAAAAACAAGATCAGGCAAGGCTCTTAAGGTGTTATAATCAGTTAAAAGGAATATCTATAAATTCACAACTAATATCAACCTAGAACAATACAAGAGATATGTTGCCCCGATTGTAAGCTATTGCTCAGCTCTATGGAAACCATCAAAAACGATCTTAAAATCATTGAAAGTGTGCAAACGAAAGGAACAACGTGGATTACGGGCACATATCATGGATACAAAGACCGAATGATTCAACTTAAGATCCTACCGCTGTCACTTTAACATGAACTACACGTTCCACTTCGACTGCATGAAATTATCAATGGCAAAACAGACCTGCAGTGGGAAAAACTTAATCTAATTAAAGAAAAAGGACAAACAAGACATTCGAGTTTGAGGAAACGTGAAAGCACCAAATTCAGACTATAAAATTCTGAGACGGTTTTTTTTCAAACGAGCGTTCACACTGGCGTACCTTATTAACGACTATTTGAAATATGACATCATCGAATGAGAAAAAAATCGAAGACATCCGTACGAGTTTATACTGATTATACGAGATTTTTCGAAGAGAAATTCAATTAAGGAAATCCGTGCTCATGAAGGATTGAATGCAATTGCACAAACTATATTAACATTCGAAATTAAACTTTTTGATTTGATCTAAAACTTGAAAGGCAGTCACTTCTCCTGGATATTTTTCAAAATCTTTTTTTATTATTATGATGATTATTACTAATATTATGATTATTATTATGAGAGGATCTGAGCGAAAGCCTATAACTTTGGCATATTTGACATTTTTTTTTCGAAAAAGGAAAAGAAGTTTTTAAATTACATTCCCAAGAAGGCGCTAAAAGAAACTTCGATAACTAAATTTACTGGGCTTTATTGAAAGTTTATTGCCTTTATATAAGCCTAATCGCTCGCTTTTTTCGCTCGAAATTGGACTAACAATCATAAAATTCAAACCGCTTTTTCTCGCAACTTTTGAAAAGACTTCAATACGGTCGAATCACGTCTAAAGGGCTTTAAAATGACACATCCGTCGACTCATTCTGATAGTTAGTTAGGGCACCTGATTTTGTGTAGAAAAATCTGAAACACCCTAAGACAAAGTTCCTTCCCCACTTTCAGCGGTCGGAACAACTTCAATATACACTGATCTGCTTCTTTTTAAGACGTACCTCAGACGATTCAAAGATGCTGTCCCTCGATCTTGGACAGCTCTAAAAACAAAATCGCTCACTAATCTGCTTCCAATGCCTCTTCCAAGCCCGAGAACTCCGTCCACTTTGCAAATATGCTTCATATATGCAATACCATTTGGATATAAAAGAGTTGTCTTGCCGATAAAGCCAAACTTCTTTCCTTTGCTTGGCGGCAGCGGCTCATAGCCTAACTGTATTAAGGTTTTCGTTAACGTCAATGGGTATGCTACGTTATTTATAGCGGCGTTGATTAAAGGCGGTACAAAATTTGACATACCGATCTGAAAGGATTGACAAAATTAAGGACGCAATATTAAGGAAGCATTAAACAGCAATCATCAGGCTCAATCATTAGTTTATTAAGGACTCAATGAACAGCAAAAATAAGGGCTCATTAAACAGCAATCATAAGGCTCAATCATTAGTTTCAGGCACAAAAATATGGCTTTAATTTCACTACAGAGGCGAAGCTGCACTTCGCTAACAAGCAAAAAAGCGACAAAAAGTAGCTCTTAAACGATCAAACACTAAAAAATGAAAGAAACGAAAAACTATGAGACAAAGCTAGGTTCTGGTTTTGAAACCTTGACCTCGAGATTAGGAATCACCCGTACTAGCGTCTGCGCCATGGTCACTTCACAGTTTTCAAACAATAGCCACCAAAAAATCAAGATATGATGTTAGTGCAGCAAAAAAAATCAGACTAAGGGTCCAGGTGAAATTCCCATAGGTCCCAACATTCATAGCATCCAAAATAAAAAATCAGTCGCATAAGTCCCAAAATTGATCTTCTAGAATTCTGATTGGTCGAAATTTGAGCCAACGAGTTTATGGATTGATTGTTTACTGTTCAAGCAGCATAAACTCAAGCTGCAGAATAGTGACCGCCGCAGCAGCAGCCGCGCCGTGTTGCGAGCTTGCCACCAAAGGGTAGGACTCTATACGAAATTAAGAGCCGGTTAGCGCGCCCATCGACGACCTTAAACAGAGACTCGGCTAATTTAGTTTTTTGACCAATTGAAAAGATTTCGGACTTATACGACTGCTACTTTATTTTGGGACCTATGGGACTGATTTTTCATTTTGGGATTTATGAATACGCACCAGGGGTCCAGTCACAGCTGGGTAACTTTTTGACAACTTTAAATGAACTGATGCGAAACGTTATGCGCAATTTTCAAAATATCAAAAATTGAAAAGTTATTGGCTGATTTTTTTTAGCAAAAGTACTGAGAAAAAGTGAAGGCAAATCATTAAACAATCTCCGTTTGATTGATTTCTTAGCCTCAAAACTGGCATTTTGGAGAAACTGAGCAAGTCCACAAAATGGGTCAAACAGACCTTATCGGATGTTTACCAGGTCATAGCAGCTTCCCTGCCAGATTTGGAGGGATCAGACTATGCAGGGGATACAACTATAAGTTGTTCTTTGCATTGAACCTTTCATTGTACAATTGGCACAAGAGTTTTCGAGAAAATTTTAGCTCTCACTATTTCGGAAAGTTAACTTTTCAGGTCCAAAATTGCTTTTTAAAATAATTGAGCCTAGTCGCTTAAACAGCAAAATTTCATAGCACATGTTCCTTTGATTGAACTCTAAATCGCGGACTGGCAGGTTAAATTGTAAGAATAATCGAATAATCTAGTTTGCAAAACACTGGCAACATTTCAAAATTTACGCATTTTCTAAAGCTATTTTTTTCCTTTAAAAACTAGGGCACAAATTTTGTGCAGAGATAAATAGCACAAACTGTTCTTTTGTTTGAGTCCTTTACATCAGATTTGGCGGCGTGGTTTTCGAGAAAAATCTAGTTTCAAAAAGATACCAGACATTTAAATAACCTACATTTTATAATTCATATAACTTATTTCTTTTCATGTAACTTTAATTTAAACAATTTAACGAGGTAATTTGAGTCAAAATTTTTCCGAAAATCAAAACTAGGGGCCCAGCTGAAAGCTGGAGAGACCTGTTTGATTATTTTAATATTGATTATTTTAAAATTGTTTTAAAATTTCAGGTTTCTCAAGTCGATAGCGCCCTTCCTACGCAAAAAAGTGAAAGAGAAGCTTATGCATTCATTGGTAACGCTTTGGTAAAAAGTTTTCATGAGGGAATCGGAACGGGTAGTTTTTGAGGAAATCGGAAAGATTTGAAAAAAGGCCAAAAAAGTGAATTGTCCTAAGTCTATAGCTCTTCCCCTAGTCAAGTTAAGGACCAGCCGCTTGTGCGGGGGAGTTTCCTACAACCTGATCTATCGATTAAACCCTTAATTCCAAATCTGGATGGGTAGTTTTTGAGGAAATCGATAATTTCCGAAAAAATAGGCAAAAAAATCAAAAAAGTGACTTTTCCTAAGTCTATAGCTCTTCCCCTAAGCAAATTAGGTACCAGCCGCTTGTGCATGGGAGTTTCCTACAACCTGGTCTATCGATTTAACCCTTAATCCCAAATCTGGACGGGTAGTTTTTGATGAAATCGGAAAGATTTGAAAAAAGGCCAAAAAAGTCAAAAAAGTGACTTTTCCTAAGTCTATAGCTCTTCCCCTAGGCAAGTTAAGGACCAGCCGCTTGTGCGGGGGAGTTTCCTACAACCTGGTCTATCGATTAAACCCTTAATTCCAAATCTGGATGGGTAGTTTTTGAGGAAATCGAAAATTTCCGAAAAAATGGGCAAAAAGTGAAAAAAGTACCGAGTTGTGAAGCTTTTCTAAGACCGTAGGGGGTGGGGTAGGGTAAAAATTGCCCTATATTTCATGCAGGCAGGTAAGTGAAACGCTACTGAATCCATTGGTACCACTTTTATGAGAATCTGACGGGTAGTTTTTTGGGAAAGCGAATTTTTCGAAAAAGCGTCTCAAAAAAAAAAAAAAAAAAAAAACGTTTTCATAATACCTGTTTAATAAATCAAACAGGAATTTTGAAAATTTCACCTTTTCTATGCGCATAAATTCAAAAACGTTTCAAATTGTCAAATACTTCCCGTATCCTTCCTGATTTTCGCATGTCAAAGATATTGCAGTTATGTCGAGCCTCATCATATATAACTTTCGAATAATTGTTGTTAGTTTGTCCGACGTCTCATGATGTTATCATGATAAACATCGGTGTAACATAAAAGCGACAACAAAAAATTGTGGTAATCGAAACAAATGCCCTTCTATCTCAAATAACTCTAATCTCTATCAACCAGAGTCATCGATAACTGATTGGAATTTTAGAAAAAATTACAGCAAGAGCCCCCTTTTTAGACCATTACAATCTTTTCCTGCAAGAAGGTTTTTTTTACTGGTATACGTGATGAAGGGACTCCTGACTGTAACCTCGGTTACTATGATACTTTTGACCTTCTGATTACATTTAGTAGTGAAGAGAAGAAGAACAAAAAAACCTGCAAGAAGTGTTTTAACGAGGAGTAACAATTCTTTTTCAAAATTTCTAGGCTCTTCTTCCAGATTTCGTTGCAAGTAATGATGATTACTTTCAGTTATTAAGAAAAATCAATAAAAAGGGAGCATTCAAGACTTTTTAACTAACAATTTTTTATAAGACAACTTGTAAAAACTAGATGTATAGAGAGTTGCAAAAAGTTCGGACAGATAGAATTAATTAAAAAGAGCAACTGTCTGGAGATGAACGGAAATTAAAACTGAAATAAACATTAATGTCGAAAGTTCACAGAGCAGAGTTTTGCTCAAAACTATTACCAGGGCGGGCAATTGTATCCGAAGCGTCGAATAGTAAAACTTGAAACAGGAAAATTATTGCTCAGGATGGCTTATGTTTTTCTGTGGTTAGTTTCCAAATTTTGAATGATTTGATCATCTTCACTTCCCTTTGTTATTTAAGGCGGCCTAATCTGTTTTTTTTGTTGAAAATAACTCTAGATTTTGATTTTCGAACTATTTTTGCTAACTGCTTTATAGTAAAAACTGGTTCATCGCATAATTTAAAAATTAGGCTAACATGATCATCGGATTATCGACAATCTTGCGTTTTGAATTTGGTGAGACAAAAAATTCAAGGTTGTTCGGCTTCCGATTTTGCATGCAAAAAAGCGTCGGAAAGAACTGATTTTTCATTTTAATTAAATCTGTCTGTCCGATTTTTTTGCTACTACTTATATAGCGATTTAGTTTATATCGAACATTGGCATTTGGTGGCAACAAAGTTTCACAAGTAAACTTTACTAGCAAAAAAAATAGACCGAGAATAATGTTCCTATTCCTTGGTAATTGCTCGATCATCGAACAGATGTGGCGTACCATATTCTTCCGGAGTTTCTTTAAAAGTATATCCATGAGAAGTGAGAACTCCATTACTGTTTACAGTTGACAAGTAAAGTTCGTTTGATAAATGTCTTTATGAGAATGTAATTCCTTGGCGTTGCTATTCATTTACTTGATGAAGTAAAGTTCACAATTCAAACAGGCAATGTAACACTTTGCTTGTAAACGTCAAAAAAATGACTACCCATCTGTGTCATTCTCTGACTTTGTTTTACTCTCTTCTTAATCTAGTTTGAAGGCTTAAAAAAACTTGAATAATTGAAGCTTTAAACTCAGTTGGTCATCACGTTTATCTTATTAGAGACAAAGGTCTATCTCAATTTCAAATTCAATTTTACTTTCATCTAAAGAAGTATCAGGAAAAACGTCTTGAATGTAAGATGAAGTAGTTGTTTCTAAAATGGTTCATTTGATTAAAATGACTATTTTGTTTTCTGTGATATTCGACCAGAATGTGTCAAAATGTAGGTTCGAATTCGAAATTTTATTGTAACATGTGACATTCGACCAGAATGGCCAAAATGCAATTTGTGCAGGATTCGAATTTTGAGCAGTAAGCCTTCCGAATTGATGATTTCGAAGGATTAGCGACGTTATTGGAACGTTTAGCCAAACGGTGAGGGCTAGAATATTCTAGTATTTTAAATTTTCAAAAATTCGAATGATGACGTCACATTTCTGAGAAATGCTGAAACGGCCATTTTAACAAAAAGCGAGTGAAAAAGAGAACAACTTTTATCTGTGATTGCGAACAGAACGAAAATCGAGATTAAAGAAAAACAACAACGAACTACAATAGCAGAGAACGTTCCAAGTTGCAACTATTGTGCTGCTACAATAGTTGCAAGGCCGTTGCCAACAACGGTGAAGGGTGAGAACCAGCCTTCCGGATTGGTGTGAAATTGAACTTAAGGAGCTTGATTCACTGGATTCAAGAATCCGGAAGGGTTTCGGGACTGGAACTTTTAGCCTTTTATATAAACTTTTA